GGCCTGCTAGTGACCCACCTTTTGTTAGCATCACGTGCTGGCTATGTAAGTGAGTTGAGTTGGCAACGTAATTTCATCATCTTTAAAGTCATCTTCAGTCACACTTCCCAGATCAGGTTCTGATCTCTGTGTTTTCTTAATTTTTCTTAAATTGCTGTGGTTCATCCTGATCCTGGGGTGTGTCCACTGAAGATGGCCCAGTTATCAAATGTGGATAGGAGAAGGTAAAGCAAGAGCAGAAAGTTGAAAACAGCAGGAATAGAGGAACATATGTCCTGTACACCCATTGTAGTCTTCTCCGAGATGGGACAAGGCTGATTTTTAAATACAGGTTGCTCTGGGGTCCAGCATGACCATTGGCTTTTGATGAGAGTTTGTGCATGGTAGTAACATACTTCAATACATTAATTTTAGTGGAGGGTAAGATGTGCAATGTAACTGAGGGATAATGGGGTTTCCACTCTTTTTAATTTTTTATGTCATTTAGTAAGTGCTGATCTTGCATTAAGATGTCACTGTCAAACTGAATAGCATTAAAGAGGAAAAAGGTTGCTGAATTTTCAGGTTTAAGTATTTCTGGATCCCTAGGCACTTTCAGTAAAAATCTGTTGGAATAAAGGATGGCTAAAAAATGTTTTTAATCTAGTCTTTTTAAACTTTCTCTTTTGAGAGCCACTGTAATAAATCGAAATTATTGATCTAGCCTGTAGCAGTCCTAAGATTCACTCATGTAAGAGTCGAAACTGCTCTATTACTCAGAGCAATAACCCACCACTTTAAAATCTCTCATCAGAGACTCCTGGTCCACACATGTAGACGGGCGTTCAGCAAAGATTTCCATTTGTTTATGGATCTGACATCATCTGAGATCTCTGCACTGTTTTTCTTGGTAATTATCTGCCCGCCTTCTCCCATTGCACCCTGAGGAAGCTTTTGCAGCACTGGGGCTGCGGTTACTGCTTCTGGCTTAGCTGAGCCCTTGCCGTGTGTGGCCAGGACGAGCCCTTTCAGCATTGGCAAGTTGAACATCATATCACCTCTTACTAGACCTCTGCAGAGAAACAGAATCTGTTTTGCATTCCAGCAACTCTGGTATTACCCACATTGTGAGTCTGTCCATGGGCTTGCGTGTCGGTTATGTACACAATACCACATTTTAAATCCCTTACGTTGCAGGAAGGGTTACATACAGCTTTTAATGGAGCCAGTTCTGGGTATCTGCATAAGAAAAATCTCCTTCCAAGGGTACATATTCCTCAGGGCACTGAAGGTTTGAATGATCAATAAGTAGTTACAAAGGAATGCTTAATATCATACTCAAAAATATTCTAAAATCAGGAATCCAGGTTAAATTAACACTAGCTGGTATCACGTGTTCTGTCCGTATAGTTGGTAAGAGCTGGTGAATTCCGTGGCAGCTCCTCCCTGTATCACTTCTGCTTCACCTTTTATGCATTTTTTATTATCTTTCCATTAACAGAATATTGCTGTTCCACCTTCTTTTCCTAAAACTGCACTCCTCAGAAGCATTCACACAATTCTGCAGCACAATTCCTCCTCATTCTCCTGGGATAGTAATTTACTGCCAGCCTATGCCAGTAGTAAATTACTAACCCCATCACTAACTTGCTGGCTCAGCTGCTGTAACCAATAAGTAGCACCTAATCATTGCCCATCTGCTCCAGCAAAGGAGTAGCTACAGGTTCAGTGCTCCTCACTTACTTCTGTGTCCAGACCCTGAGCCAGCGTGGCTGTTGAGCAGATCAAAGGGAGCCCTTACTCCCTTGTGCAGGCACGTGGTCCTGCCTAGCCCTGAATGATTAACATATTTATAAATTAAAATAAATCTAAGGAGTGAACTGGCCCAGGGGAGTTCTCAATCCAATCAAATTAGACTCATATATCAACCCCAGAGCAATTCCTTAGAAGCCCTGCCTTCATGAAACTTCATTTGTAATCGCTACGTGCTGTGTACTTTAGAAAAGTTTTGTAATTACTTGCTGTTCCGGCTGCTGAGCAGTTCTAAATGTTAGATATTAAGGAATTGCTGTTTCAGTCAGTGAACAAGCTCTGAACATTAAATGTGCTTCATGAGAAGTTTTTTTCTCAGCCATTACACATCTCTGAAGGCATATTTTTTTTCAAGTGGATGCTTTCCCAGCTGTTGATCATCTCTGTTTCTTCTGTGTGAAGAGAGAAGGAGGGAACTGATGATAGTGTGACATTGTATAAAGGCTTTATCACTGTGGAGGGAGATGAGTGCATTACTCACCAATGCAGGCGCTGAAATAATTATGCAGGACACACTGAGAAAGGGCCAGTGAAACCTTTATCTTACACCACACATATCTGTGGACATTTTTGTTTCATGCAGATAATAACGTGCGTAACAGATGAAAAAAAATTAACATTTTCTTTGATTGCGATAATCAAAGTCATTAAGCATCGTGGACTTAAAATATAAAATTCAAAACATGTACTTGAGTCCTCTGTGTATTACTAGGCTGGAATAAAAGAGAAATCCTTTTGCATGTAAACTACAGGTTATATGTATACCTGTGTGAAATAGGGAAAGGAAATGCTGAGACAGTAACTGAGAGCTGACTAGTCTCTGCCTGCAACGTGACCCGTGCAGAACTTCTCAAGTGCTAACTCTGGCCAGCCTGAGCTAAGGTTCACGCTTCAGGTGATCTCAGAAATCACTTAAAAAAAATGTGATCACCTCGTATTGCCCATCTTCAAGCACAGGACACCATTACAAGGGTGTGTGCACCCCTAGCTATGGCCGGCTACAGCGGGCTGTGCTCTGTCCCCGCTGCAGTTACGCGTGCCGTGAAATGCTGTGGAGAAATGGGCTGCCCAGAGGTTTTGCTCTGGGTATTTCCCTTGGGTAGCTCAAAGCCTGGCTGGAGTGTGTGCTGCAGGTAAACAGCAGGGACAGCTCATGGGCAGAACACCAGGCAGCTCTTAGATTTCTGGTCTGAAGGACCAGGGAAATCAGGTGCTGTGAATCAAGATCCAGGAGCCAGGGGGTGATCAGCGCTCACCTAAGTCAGTGCATCAGGAATCGGTGGGCTGGCTGGAAACGAGCTCTGCCGCCTACAGCTCTCTGATCCTAGCAGTAGAGTTGTGAGGCTTTCATTATAAAGCTGCACATTTCACGTCTACTCAGAGGCTATTTAGAGAAGTGCAGACTTCTTGATTGGGAAAACTTTTCTAACATATATTATCTCTTAGAACAGCAAAAATTTATTCTCTATTTAGCGGAAGCAGAAGCGCTGAGACAGTCAATCACATGTAAAAACTTTTTCTGTCAGTTACTAAGCATCAGATCTAGAAATTGTGAAAATAATGGCATTTCAGGTGTCATTAATCTAAGGCATAATGGTGCCTTTAACAGCTAAATGCACACTGTAGCTCAGGTGATTCAGGTATCTTTGCATATAATCATGCTTTCAAATAAATTGCAAAGTTCAATCCAGTATGTATTCATTTTGAGATGTCCCAGAAGTATGTAAACTACAGTTATCGCAGTTGCCTTGTATTTACAAGCTGGAAGATTTATTTAGTTGGAAATCTTCAAATGGGAATAGGCTGTTCTTGAGTTATGAATTGCTAAACCCATCCATCTATCACATTACTACATAAAATCACTCTTTAAATGCATGGAGGAAGTATACCACTATCGCAACAGTGTTACCATGTCTCTCTTTTGACACAGCAAGAAGACAGCAAGGAAATAGATTTAAAGAATTAGGCCATATTAAGACTTTTCAGAGTAAGCCATCCAAATGAAAATCCATAATCAAAATAATAATTACCTGGGGAAGGCATTTGCTTTCAAAGTAATCATGCAAAGTAAAGCACAGAATATGTCTTAAGTAATAAAAAAATGTGATTTCTGTTCAGAGGTAAAAAGAAAGTCTAGCACATGAGAATAAAAGTGCTTTGTACATGATCAGTTCTTGATGGATTTTCTCAGGAATGGGCCTTCATTTATTGTATGTAAAAAAGAAGGAAAAATTGAAGCTGTTATGTGATGAATGCATCTGAAGGTGTGATGAAGCTGGGATTGGGTTACTGAAGCTAGGAAGATGCCTGTCTTTTTCTTCATTTTAAAAATATTACAGTGGTAGGGTTAGGTTGAAGTAATATTCTGTGAAATATTAAGACTTTCTACACTATGGACGCACTTTTGGAAAGTTCCCAAAAAGTTAATGTGTAATTTCCGATGCAAATAACTAGCAGATAATCTGGCAAATTTCTTTTGTATGTTCTTCTTATTTCTGATATAGTTAAAGAAATTGAATGTGAGGGAAATAATTTCATCATGTCTTTTCATATTTGTTATTTAAATTAACTTATGTTTCCTGACTTCATAGTAAATTTTACCTGTCATAGCTTTGTTCTTTTTATATGGTCTCAGCTGCATGGACTTTTTATTTCCAGAGCATACATCCAAGTTTAGAACAGTCTTGTCATTTTGCCATTTAATCGTGTTAAATTTTTAGTGGCTTCCATGCAGCGTAGATGAATTTCTCTTACACTGAGTTTCATTGCTCAAGATTTATGTGATTTTGATGGTGGACATATACAATTAATTTTGTTTTTTCTTTTTGACAGTGCTAATTCTGGGCTCTTCAGTCTTTATAAGCTGTACTGGACTTAACTTTGGTTGACTGGGGTCAAATCCATCTTGCAGTAGAGTTGAAGCAAATTTGCAAAACCGTAAAACACATGTAATGGACTGAGTATATTTTGTTTTCATCGGGTACAATATCCTGGATTTTATCCCTTCACATAGGGTTCATAGAAAGAGCAGCTGACCCATTTTGAGTAATTCCAGTTCGTATGCTCTGAAGAAGTTGTAGATTGGAAAAGACCTTGTCTTATATCTGCATATAAATAGCTGCATTTTCCAGTAGCTAATATGATTCACTTCATTTGCCTTCTTCAGTGAAAGTAATAGCTCTTCCCTTTCCCTGTTTTCCTCTTTTCAGAAGTAACAGTTTATTCAATGAGGTCGTGCAGATGAACTTTGAAATAGCCAGTTTCAGCAGCCTTTCTGGAACACAGCCCATCACCTGGCAGGTGGAATACCCTCGGAAGGGGACAACAGACATAACCTTGTCTGAAATCTTCATCTGCCAGAAGGATCTTGTTGGAATTGTTCCATTGGCGATGGTAAGAAATTGTTTCAGCATGTTGCTCCATCTGATCTGTATGTGGTCTGGGAAAACGTATACCAGGCCTTAGATAGACCTGCAAAGGAGTGTTCTCTGCCCTGCCTCCCCATTTTATAGCTGTACAGGACTTGTTAAAATCGTGCCCTCATTTAATGGTCTGTCCGCATCACGCTATTTCAGTTCTTGTAAACTTACCACAGAGGAAAGGGATGCTGCCATTTTTAAAATTCCTCTCAGACTTTAAAACCTGAATTTCTGTCCTGCGTGGTTCCCTCCAGGCTACTGGCTGGTAATACAAAGTCAAGCAAATTTACCTTGCCATTTCTAATTGTCATTGCGTTGAATTTGCAAGCTGTAGAGCAACTTTAGAGGGCCTTGAGCACCTTCTGCTAAAGCCTAAGTTTCTTGGTCCTTAGTAGGCTGAGGCTGATAATAATTTTGCTGGCACTTTCCACAATATTATAGGAACCCGTGGTTTCAAGGAAGAAACAGAACATAATAAAAGCCTCAATAATATATTTAAGAAAAGTTAAGTGTACACTTTCAGGTGGAAAAATGCCTTGGGTTAAAATCTGCTTGCTCTACTCAGTGTTGTAGCACCAGTTGTGGGCTACCTGCCTCCGCTTGAAATCATACCCATTGCCTGTCTTTAGAAGACTCACAAATGTGATTTTTGGAAGCAGCATCTCCTTCTCTTCCTCTGGCCCAGTGAAGATGCAGTTACTTCTGGTAAGTGAGGCTGGGACAGTGGAAGGACAAAGACTTAGCAGTTTCAACCCCTCCTGTGAGTGAGCAGCCTAGGATCAAATTCTCGGTCCGAGTCAAGCAAACAAGAAATGTCATTGGAGTCTCCAGCACCTCAGGTGCACCATTTTTAGGTAGGCATGTTATTTTCTGGAGATTTAGGTGCATACTGAGAACTTTTTCCATGCTCACAGGTGAATCAGACACTGAGCATTTATTTTGGAAGTCCTGCCAAACCTCAGGAAAGGGAGAAGCACAAAGCTGCCAGCTACCTAGAACAGGAGCCAGTGGCCATCAATAGCATGTGCTACCATTAGCCGATATTAGAGCTCAGGAAGTAGAAGAATTAGATATAACCACCCCACTCGTGAATTTTGCCTCTCCTGTGTATAATCTTGGAGGTGAAATTCTGGCAGTCTTTCAACAGTCTTCAGTGGTTTGCAGGAGATAATTGGATGAGTACTATTTCCTGGAAGTCCTAGCCTTCAGTATGTTCTTCCTCTTTGAAGAGTAAAACTGCTGCTCATATCAAATGAGGTCATGCCCAGCAATTTCCTGATCCAAAGTCTGTTAAGTCAGCAGAAAGCCTGTCCTACATTTCTGATCTGAGGGGGAAATAATTGTCCTCATTACCTGTGGAGCTGATCAGAGACTACGCATTTGAGCATCTGTCCCCTAAAGACTTGAGAACATGCGTAAGGAAGGGTTTGTGGTGATGCCTTTCAGTATCAAATGATAAGCATCTGTCTACTGGCAGACTTAAGATTTGCTCATTTCTTGAAATAATTCACCAGCTTCTTCTCTGTATTTCCTATCTGAGGGAATTAAGATTTTTTTTTTTAAATCTCAAATCAGGGTCTAATACCTTTGCACTTGCATAGAAGGTCCAAGATTTACTTTCAGATTAGTGTGTCTTCTAGATTAAAATTCATCTGCCTACAAGGGTTCCCTTAAGAACTGGAGGTCTAAATGAATTAATTTGGCATTGTATAAATCATATAAGGTGAGATTCTTTATTCCCAACAGAATTACCATTAGGCACTCTGGGTAATGCATAGGATTCAAACAATGAAATCATTAAACCTTTCTCTTTGCAAAGCTTTCTTGTGTTTATCTCATTTCTGTACCTTGTGATAACGCTTGGCTGGAGCCAAAATATACTGTGTTAACAGAATCCAGCCGGATGGGATACCAATGGAAAATTGGCTTTGCTAGCAGGATATTAGTAGATAAAGGGAATTTTCAGAGTTTTCTGTTAGCTAACGCTGCATATCCAGCCAAGGTGCTTTCTTCATTTAAGCATTAATCTCTAGCTGAGCCGATTACCTGGCAGTTCTCCTGGGCAGCAACAAGAGTTGCCCGGAAAAGAGAGGGTGATGCTGTATCTGCTGAGAAGTCAGGCCACGTTCTTTATCTCAGTGACACACAGGAAAGCACCAGCGCATTGCCGTGCGCAGAAATCAGATCACAGCATTTCTCAGCAAGTGGGTTCCGTAATCCTCTAGAGGGTGAAGTAGATTTTGTTGATTTAAGGGTGGAGTGTTCCTACAGCAAAGCTGCTCACTTCAAAAGTAAAATCTGTCTGAATTTTTAAAGGTGGCCGAAAAAAAAGAGGAAGAAGGAGCTGCCCAAAGATACTGTGCTGGATTAGGATTTAGGGTCTGACTGAGTCTCTGTCGTTGATCTGATGGGCATCTTAGCTTTTGGGGATGAAAGCAGAGAACTTTTGCTTAGTTTGAGCATAACATGAAGGTTGTCTCTGATTCACAGATTAAAGCACGTCTCATGTGAGCCATTCCAGACTTAGGAAGCAAGAAAGATCATGTATCCTTTATTGCCCTATGCCTGATTATGTTAGAGAAAAGTAGTATGATGAAAATCAAGTGGGTGTTCAAAAGGCTAGTGCAATTGTAACTACAGTATTTTGGAATGAAAGAGATTAAAGAACTGACATTGTCAGTGAGAACTGAACCTGGAATTTTAAAAGGGCTTTATAGGACTTGGATCAGTGGAGCAAGTGGTAGGATACAGTTGCTGAAAAATCAATGGAAATTCATCATACAGTCAGAGGAGTACAATCCATATCCTGCGTGCCTAACTACTGGGCTAAATAGTGCGTACAAGGAAGAAAAAACATCAAAGTAAACACTGCAGTGAAATAAAAGGAGCAAGAGATATCAAAATGATTGGGCTGAGAATGAGTGTAGTAACTTTTTCTGAGAGTAAATGAGATGTAAATTTGAGATAACAATTTTTTTCTTGAGCTCAGAAGTTAATCAATCTGAGTAATTTTGGAGGACGTTTCATCCTTCGAGGTATTTAGAGAGAAAAATGAGACAGAAAACCTAGGAAGGTGTAATTCTAACTGGTTCTATTGCTTTCAGGAAAATTATCCCACTGTCTGCTGACAGAAAGAATCTACCCCAAAGATTTAATCTACTAGAAGAGAAAATCTATTATCTGAGTTGTGCCCTATTCTGGCATTTCTGATTTCATGTTAGTTGTTGAAGGATCAATTAGGAGAGTGCTTTCATAGGAACTTAATTAATTGTCTGCTAAACTGCTTTTGAAAACCTCCTCAATTAATCACAAGTAACCTCAGAACTTGCCAATTAAGATGTACAAGGTTGCTTAACTTGCTTCCCACATTCTCCTCAAATTTCTGTCCTGTCATAAGCAAAGGCAGCCAACTATATTGATTTTACCACTTGACTAGATTAAAAAACAAACCCAAAATTGTTCATATGTTATTTTTAATACCATTAAATTTTGCTTTGGGCTAGAGCAAGGTAGAAGACCTGTGTATAAGTTTCTTGTTTGATGCCAGCAAGGCACATCAGTCAGTATTAAAGGAGAACTTGCTGGGAAGTAGATTGGCAAATCAATGGTTTAGCATTTATGCAAGACAATCGAGGTCCCAGTAGAACAGAATGGAAGTAGTAGTCCTTCAATAGCAGGACAAACTCCATCTGGATTAATTCATCTCTGTGACTTGTGTGAAATCCAGATATTTAAAGTGCTGAAGCGTAAACCCGATGTCAGGAGCCTAATCTGAGAGTTCTAGTCTGTATTTACTCCAAAAGACATTTGTCACCATGGGAAGCTATGCAACCTGCTCATCGACGCGTATTTCCTCTTTATATAGCACCAATACTAATTTTTCAGTGAGTCTTTCAGGCTTCATTCATCAAGGTCTATAATCCATTGATAACTCGTGATGAGCAAATTGAAGTTGGAAGGACTCCCAGGCTGTTGCTGCTGTTCCACCTCACATGCTCAGAAGTTTGTGCTCCCGAGCTATACTCAGGGGGTCTAATAACAGATATACTACCCGTCCTGCCCTTCTGCTGACGTAAACTGCATCTTCGCATTGTGTAACAGCATCTTGTGAACTGTTGGTTAGTCCAAGCTTGGGGTTTTCATGCAGAGTACCCTGGTAAACCCAGCAAAACTGTGTAGCTGCGGTTGTCCCCATCTTCTCGTTAGGCAGTGCAATTGCACACGTGCTTTTTGCTCAGTGGTGAGTTGTTTCATTAGGAAGTGCTTGGTTTGCCTGTACCTTCCTTCACATTCAGAACTCAATATATTGGGAGCTCCACTGCAGAAGTAAGTGAATGGACTTCTAAGATGCAGAGCTGTGACTCAGCCAAACCCAGTTTTGGACATTTTTATGTATGCTTAACTTGTTTTCCATTAAAACACAGGTGACTGAATATAGGGCTCCCAAAGCAATACTTGGTTTATATACACATTTATGTATGCCGTTCCCTAGGGTAAAGGTTTTCTAAGGTATTTTGTTGTAATGAAGTCCACCATTTTTAGACAGGGCCCTAAATAAACAGAGTTTGCATCCCCACACAGTCTGACTTAACACGGTAAAGCTCTATCAAGGTCACAGAAGTGCCCAGTTGTCACTGCTGTTAATCTTTCAGTCTTGAATGAGGTGGCTGGGGGCAACAGGAGCTTTCCAGAAGATAAAATCTGAGGCTGTTTAAACTTATCCATTTCCTGATTTGCTTATCACAAGCAAACAAACAGATAATCTATGTATCAACATTTTCATCTGAGAGGTATTGTCTCAGATAGTTGCGGATCACATGGAATAAACACTGTGAGTTCAAGGAAATTTATTTGATGTAAAACTATCCTAATACTATTACTAATGCTAACTAGAGCAAATTAAATCAACTGTATAGCCCTAAATAATTCCATGAACTCAAGAGTTTCTAAGAGTTCGGTTTGTGTGAAAGAGCA